GTTTATTATTAAGTGATAGTGATTTTATTTTGGCTATTCATTAAAATGCATGATTTCCCACGATGTATGTGCTGTATTGTTTAAGCACAGCACTTTACGTAGTTCTTCCAGTATGGCTGTTACTCTTTGTGTTTTTACTGTTGTGGTTGGCAGGTTAGCTGGCTTGCTAACTGTGTGGGAGAGAGGCTTGGGTAATATGATAATATTTATCGTTATGATAAATTATATCACAATATGTCACAGTATGCTTTTCTCCGAACATAAGAACATTCAGAACATAAAAAACAGTACTGCACTGCGTTTGATCCGATAACTGCAGAAATTCAGGTTATATCAGTAATCCAATCAGCGTGTTTACATGCAGTTGAGTAATTAGATAATGGAGAAACTCTGGGTCTACATGAGTCAGACAGTAATCTGATTTCTGCTTTGCAACCAGCCAATAAACTCACAGAAGTAGACGTGACGTAAACGTAATGTAAAATTCAAACTTCATGCTGCGGCTTTTTGTTTATTAAAAACTTGCTGCACTTTACCTGAAAGTATGAACATCATCATCTAGAAGATGAAGAATATTTAAATATTCCTTCATTTCGTCAAACGTGTAGTTGTTTTCAGCGTCGCTCCAAAAGTGTTTTGCTGTGTCTCACAGCAACGCGGCTCGCTTATTTCCAGTACTGCTGTCTGTTTTCGCACATGCTCAGACTGAGAAATCCGAAAGAAATCAGAGTAAGAGCTCACATGCACTGAGAAATCTGATTACTGAGCTAAAATCCAGCTCTCTTTATCGGATTTCTTAATCAGATTTCTAGACCTTACTGTGATCTAAGAAATCGGAGCGTGCTGCTTACATGACCATTTGAATAATCAGATAACTGCAGAAATCTGATTGTGATTGGATTATTGAGTGCATGTAAACACATTCATCTTATTGATAGTCTTTGATTGTAATTTTTAAATGTGGTCTATTCCAACTTACCAGATGTAAGAAAAAATGAATATTGTGACATATTATGGACATTTTTGCCCAACTCTAGTGGGAGATTTTATAGAAAAGCCATACATTACCCAAACACAGGCCTTAAATAATGATCATGTTGGAAGGGCCCACAAGCATCTAGCACATTTACTCCCAGGTTGAGAACAATTCTACCATAAAACAGCTACTAACTGTCTTTCCTTTCGTGTTTTTACTGGATACTGTACTGTTTTTTTGTATGCCGAGTTAGCCAGCTTGCTAATTGCACCAAAATGCTGAGCTTTTTAGGCATTTCCGCTGATGAGCTAATATATTTGTTTATACATTTGTTCGTGATGATCTCTGCTGAAGGCTCTGTTCTCTTCTTCCTCCATTTCATTCCTTCCTCAGCGTGTCTTCAGCTCAGCAGAGGAAATAAAACTGACAGCTGTTTTTCGAAAGTTTTCTGTTTGATTGACAGATTTGCCTGCTGCTGTTTCGGCTGACAGACTACATTATCCTCTGAAAGCAGTCATTGTTACTGAATAATGTATGCTTTAATTAGTTAGATCTGTAAGACGGGCTGACTTTGATTAGATTTTTCTCTCATGTCATCTGACTTTCATTTGATTTTCTTTTTTTCCCCCTCAGCCTGCAGGATGGAGGACGGTTGTGAATGGCTGTTCTCTATAGCGTATAGAAATACTATTGATGTACACGAACTGGGAGGAATTCGTAGTCGGCTCTAAAAGGATTAGAGACCAATAGAGGAAGCGTTTCCTCGAGGATGATTCTTGGCAATGTGGGTTTTTCATGTCATTTAATTGGATACTTCATCACTTTAGTGATTGTGTTTTGTGGGTCACCCAAAAGCTGTAATTACATGAAGGACAGGCCTATTGTTTAGCTTAGCAGCTAAATAGTGGAGGAGATGAGATTCTTTATGTTTCTTTCAGCACGTTTATGAACGAGATGGTTAAGATGCTTAGATTTTAAAAATTCTGGCAGGAGTGATCTGCTAGGAATTAAAGTGTTTTGCCATGAGTTAAAATAAAGCCAAGCCGAGTGGTTTTAATTAGCTGTTTATGTAATAAAGAACATGTTAAACGGTTTTCATACACAACCCAACTTTGACGCCTAGTTTTTCAAAGTGTTTTTAATTCAAATCAACAATAACTTTAGATCTCACTTTCTTTGGATAGTCCACTTTAGTCCACTTTAGTCCCCTATAGATCATCTACAGATGTTCAAACTGTTAACAAACTATCTGTTGAAAGTCAGTTGAGTCTAAATAGTGGTCAGGTTAGGGTTAGGATTTGGACCAGAGTTAGGGCTAGGAGCAGGGTGATGGTTGGGTTTAGGTTTTGGGTTGAGGTTAAGGTTAGGGTTAGGATTAGAGCCAGGTTTAGAGTTAAATGTATCTTGATAGGACAACCCCATTTCCAAAAAAGTTGGGACGCTGTGCAAAATGTAAATAAAAACAAAATGCAATGATGTTCAAATCATTTAAACCCCAATTTTCATTGAAAATAGTATAAAGACAGCAAATCAAATGTTGAAACTGAGAAATTTTATTGTTTTTTGAAAAATATTTGCCCATTTTGAATTTGATGCCAACAACACGTTTCAAAAAGTTGGGACAGGGGCAACAAAAGGCTGGTAAGGTTGTGTAATGCTAAAAAAATTACCTGGTGGTTGATTGGCGACAGGTCAGTAACAGGTCAGATTGGGTATAAATAAGCATCTCAGAGAGGCGGAGTCTTTCAGAAGTAAAGATGAGGAGGAGTCACCACTCTGTGAAAGACTGCACCATCAAATAGTGCAACAATTCAAGAAAAACATTTCTCAACATAAAATAGCAAAGAACTTTTACTTTTCATCATCTACAGTACATAATATCATTAAAAGACGTAGAGAGAAATCTCTGTATGTAAGGGACAAGACCAAAAACCAGTATTTGAAGTAAAGACGAGGAGGAGTTCACCAGTTTTTTGGAAATGGGGTTGTAAATTAAGTATCTACAAAGCATCTAAAGTGGACTATCCAAATAAAATGTTACCTAACTTTATCTATAATGAGCAATAGATAGAAATTATGTCATTGTAAGCCATATAATCCATATTCCACTGGAATTTTGAACACTATTCCCCCATATTGGCTACTGCTCAGCACTGAATGTGAATGTCTCATTGTTGTGCACTGCACTGTATGTATAAATATATGAGCTGTATGTAATTTAGGAACGTACACGAGCACTCGAGGACCGTTCTAGAGGGCAGGATTTGAATACTGAAATCAATATTATGTGTAAGATATCTGTAGTGTTGAATTATTTTTTTATTTTTTATTTATAATGTTTATATTGTTAATTCATCACCATTCCCATGTGCAATATAATCAATACTCCATGTGCAATATGGGTTAAATATCCTTACAGTGTAAATAGTTTTTAAAGTTTTATATATTGGTCATTTTGTGAATAGAGTTTATATGAAGGACAGATTTTATATTTTTATTTGGGATATTTTTATTTTTAGTATTGTTTATATTGTCTAGGCAGCACTAAGTAAACTGTAACTGTGTTAACTAATTAACAAGGTTAATTACTTTGTTAATTCTTTTCTTGTTACTTCTTTTGTGTGCCTTGCTCTCCCTTTGCTGCTGTAGCACCATGAAATTCCCTGTTGTGGGACTAATAAAGGATTAATTTATCTTATCTGTTAGGTTCTAATTCAGTTTCAGAACAGAAAGGTGCTTTTGTGTTTAAACAGGACTCTAAAATGTTGTGTTTTTGCTCGTATTACACATACTTGCTCGCAAATTCGAGGAAATGTGCCTAAATATGAGCATGTCGCCAGGGCCGTTGTTTAGGATGTGATTGAGAAGGCAGGTGTAGATTGCTCGCTACTCTAGCTGATGTCAGCTACAGAAACAGTGGAAATATTTCAAGTCAAGTCAAAGTTTATTTATATAGTGTTTTTTACCACAGCAGTTCTCATCAAAGCAGCTTTACAGGAAAATCTGTGTCCGAGCTTCCTTTAACAAGTCAGTGCTGACGGTGGCAGGAAAAACTCCTTAAGAACAAGAGGAAGAAACCTTGAGAGGATCCGAGACTCAAAAGGGACTCCATCCTCCTCTGACTGACAGCGGCATGAATAACAGCATCACTAAGAAAAACTTGAATTTCATTTTCCAAATTTTCATGTGGAGTTTAATGAGAGGTGGCAATATGATGATGTTGTTATTATGATTAATGTTGTCATCTTGATAAACATGGTTTTCTGAGTGTGGACATTACTTAAAGAGCATGTTTGGTCAGAAAGAGAACAAAATTATTCTGTTTAACTGGATTTATTGCAGCCCAGTATGGGAAACGTTGAATAAAACTCATTGAAAAGAAGTTCTTGATGGCTGTTATTGTTATTGTCTGTTATTAAAATGTGGCACTACTGGTGTTTTGTATGTGTGTGTCACAGTATCGTGATATGTATCGCGTATCCTGAAAATATCTTGAAGTATGATGATGTGGTATCTTTGCCTTATTGCCCATTAAGGTCAACTTTTGTAAGCTTTGTTGTGAGCATTTGCATCAGCAACCAGTAGCACAGCTGCTTTGGCTGTGTAGTAGGGCTGGATCGTTTTTTTTTGTTTTTTTTTATTTATTTATTTTTATTTTAGTCTCGCTCCAGCAGAAAATCTGCACCATTTGTCCCGCTCCCGCCCGCAGACCTGTACAGCTGGTTTCCATCTGCGGTAGTCATGTTTGAAAATGTCTGTCGTAGGTCCGACTTGCCTTTAGTCAGCTTTGTTGTTGTGTATTCACTTTATTAAGAGCACTTTCCTCAGCTGTGGCCGTCCGACGGTCTGAAGGCCAGGTGTCGTTTTTTTGTCGTCTACGGGAAATGAATTTTCATGATTATTCACATGATTGGTCCCATTTAGAACTAGTTTGGAAACTACTTAGAATGGGCTCATGATTTTTTGTGAACAGCGTCGCTTGGAAAAACTTGCTAACGGTAATTTCTGTCTGTTCTGCCTGCAGGTGAAGGATCGCGGTCCAGAAGCGACGCGGAGGTTCTTTAACTGGTTCTACTGGTGTATTAACCTGGGGGCCATCTTCTCTCTGGGGGGCATCGCGTACGTCCAGCAGAATGTGAACTTTTCGGTGGGCTACATCATCCCTGCCGTGTGTCTGGGGGTCTCCCTGCTTGTCTTCCTGCTGGGACGCACCGTCTTCATTACCAAACCTGCGGACGGCAGCGCCTTCACGGATATGTTTAAGATCGTGGGCTCGGCCTGCTGCGGAGGACCCAGCGACCCTCACCTGCTCAGGTAAGACTCTCAACGTCTTTCACAGAGAATAAACAGGAATATACATTTCACTAGAGGTGGGCAGCCTGTTTGAAAACAGGAGCTTTGCTTGTACCATGGCTGTAATTAACTGTGAAGGGCAGAATTAGTGTTAATCACAATGTGCGTTAACATTAATAGTTCTCAAATGTGGATTTTAAAACAGTAATAATAGTAATAGAGGAAAGATTTCTTGACTCTGTGGATATTACAGTCTATCAGAGTGACTGTGTGGATCATATGAACATTACAGAGGCTTTTTAAATGAAACAGTAGAAGCCATATCGCCCCCTACACTTCCTGTAGTGTATTACAGTCTGTCAGAGTGACTGTGTGGATCATATGAACATTATAGAGCACTTTTTAAATGAAACAGTAGAAGCCATATCGCCCCCTACACTTCCTGTAGTGTATTACAGTCTGTCAGAATGACTGTGTGGATCATATGAACATTACAGAGGCTTTTTAAATGAAACAGTAGAAGCCATATCGCCCCCTACGCTTCCTGTAGTGTATTACAGTCTGTCAGAATGACTGTGTGGATCATATGAACATTACAGAGGCTTTTTAAATGAAACAGTAGAAGCCATATCGCCCCCTACGCTTCCTGTAGTGTATTACAGTCTGTCAGAATGACTGTGTGGATCATATGAACATTATAGAGGCTTTTTAAATGAAACAGTAGAAGCCATATCGCCCCCTACACTTCCTGTAGTGTATTACAGTCTGTCAGAATGACTGTGTGGATCATATGAACATTATAGAGGCTTTTTAAATGAAACAGTAGAAGCCATATCGCCCCCTACACTTCCTGTAGTGTATTACAGTCTGTCAGAATGACTGTGTGGATCATATGAACATTACAGAGGCTTTTTAAATGAAACAGTAGAAGCCATATCGCCCCCTACACTTCCTGTAGTGTATTACAGTCTGTCAGAATGACTGTGTGGATCATATGAACATTATAGAGCTTCTTAAATGAAACAGTAGAAGCCATATCGCCCCCTACACTTCCTGTAGTGTATTACAGTCTGTCAGAATGACTGTGTGGATCATATGAACATTATAGAGCTTCTTAAATGAAACAGTAGAAGCCATATCGCCCCCTACGCTTCCTGTAGTGTATTACAGTCTGTCAGAATGACTGTGTGGATCATATGAACATTATAGAGCTCTATAGAGCAACATTAAAAATTTCTGAAAGAGTTCTTAGAGATCTCTAATGGTTAAAACATTTATTGGGTTTCTTTAAAGAAAAAAGGGAGAATTAATGGACATTCATTTCTTTTCACTGTGAGAAACTGTTTAACCCTTTGAGAAACCGGCGGAATCACCGAAACAGACCTTGATTGATTGGTTAGCGTGTTTGGTATGCTCGTCAGCTCTGTGGTGAGTGAGTGGCGGTTGGAGACGGCTCTGCCAGACACTGATTTTATCCCTCATTTTCCATCCGTCTCTTTGATCCGCCTCCCCTGTCTGCCTCTAATGTGGCCGCGCTGTTCATCACGACTCCACTGCGGAGGAAAGTTATTCTCAAGTGCTGCTCCGCCGCTTTGAATCAAAGTAGAACAATCGCATCAGAAAAAAAGAACGAATGAAACCTTTGACACCGAACATTTCGTGAAGTTGGACAAATCCTTGAGCCTTTCAAGAATTCCTTATTAAGAGGACCTTTTTCTCTTTCACTTTACTCCCATCTCTCTCTCCCTCTCTCTCCCTCTCTCTCTCTCTCTCTCTCTCTCTCTCTCTCCCTCTCTCTCCCTCTCTCTCTCTCTCTCTCTTTCTCTCTCAAGATAAGGCTTACAAGGCTTTAGAACGAGGTTTCCATCCTCCTTGGAGTTTTAAAGTAAAGAGCCACACAAAGGAGATAATTGTCTTATCGTGGCGGAGAGTTGAAAGCACTCTGGCGGTCATTAGAGCGCTCCTGTCAGGCTAGAATGACCAGAAAACCCTTCACTATTATCTGCCCATTGAGGCATTCATGTGTCTGTCCACTCTGGCCGCATATTCATTAAAAGTAATAATAATATAAATCACTACTTGCTATTCATAATGCATCACTGAGGACGTAGTAGCATTTGCTGTATGTGATATATATAATTATATAGTATGATTATATATGTCATAGCATGAAATAATCATATAATCATACTATATATATATATATATATATATGTATATATATATATATATGTTTATATTGTATAGTGTGGTTATAACGTTGTAATATTATTACATGCTATGATTATGTTTGCTATTATATATGTTATATATGTTAAACTTAATTTTTTCTGTGCTGTTTTTTATATACTAATGTCTATTTGTTTTTATTCTTATTTATTATAATATTTTAATAATTTTGGTAATAAAATAGATCATATATTTTTTTACATATATATCATATATCAATATACAACCAATTTTATATATTTTAGATGTATTTATTTATGTGCTTAATTTGTTTACTTTCCTTTTTATTGTTGGTCTTCATTGAGCAGGTTTCTGTTATTAAAGGAGGACTGTAGATCTGGGTGGGGCTTCCTGGTTAAAAATAATGGTTTAATGAAGGTAAAATGGGGACTTCCTGTCTGTTCTGCAGACCTAAACCCAGCCTGCTGGACGGGGCGAAGGTGACATACGGAGGGAGATTCCCAGAAGAGAAGGTGGAGGAAGTGAAAGCTCTGATGAAGATCCTACCTGTCTTTCTGGCCCTCATCCCCTACTGGACTGTCTACTTCCAGGTCAGTCAGACACCTCCTACACACACTCTCACTCACACACACACTCTCACTCACACACACACTCTCACACACACACACACACACTCTCACTCACACACACACTCTCACACACACACTCTCACTCACACACACACTCTCACACACACTCTCACTCACACACACACTCTCACACACACACACACACACACACTCTCACTCACACACACACACACACACTCACACACACACACACACTCTCACACACACACACACACACACACACACACTCACACACACACACACACACACACACATCCAGCCACTATGGGGAGGAATTTGATTTGGTTGTGGGCTGTTTGGCGTGCTAGAAAAAAGGGAAGTTCCTGTTTCGATCGTAGTTTTGTCCTGCAGGTTTTATCAGTTCTCTTTTATAAGAAAAGCATTCCGAATAGCCTTAAAAGCCTTTTTGAATCCTGTTCAATAAGCACTGTGTTCACTCACTTTGAGTGATCTGTCTGGGCCAGAACACTACATTCTGTCTGGTGCCTCAGAACCTGAATGAAAAATAAAGTAATAAAGTGGAACTGTTTGTTTTTTTGTTGTGTAACACCAGAACATAATCACCAAAGTCAGGAATTTCAGCTCAGCGGTGAGGCAGCTTCAGCACTGAATGCTTGAAAAATGAACCGGGGGAACATGAAGTTATTACACTTAGAACACTGACAGGAGTTCAGTGATGTATTGAACATTTCTGTGTTTAATGTAAGCAGAGAGTTGAGAACTTTCCTGTTGTACACTCTTAAAAAAGATGATTCTTCGAGGGTTCTTTAGTAAAGAAAATGCTGCTGTATAAAACATGAACACTCAAAGAACCCTTCGCATAATCGCAGGGTTCTTTGCATCATGAAAGCGTTCTTCAGATTGATGGAAACATAGATCCCTTTTCAAATAGGTTCTATATAGAACCATCTCCAGCACACTGTCTATCAGTCTGAAGAACCCTTTTACAATGCAGAGAACCCGTTAATCATGCAAAGTCTTCTTTGAGTGTTCTTGTTCTTTATAGAACCATTTTCTTTACTAAAGAACCCTTTAGGAACCAACTTTTTTAAGAGTGTAGCCTTTAAAAGTTATAGCAAGGACTCACTTGGTATATATTAGAGCAGTAAGCCTTGAGAGGCTGTACGTTTCAGTGATTTTACCACAGTTAAGGGATGTTGTTAAGCAGAATTTTAGTATGAAATGTGGCTTTAAGTCTTTTGCAGACTTTATGTTCGGGGTTTGACTTCCTGCCCAAGCCATGCTGCACCAGTTAGAGTCCTTGGAGTAGCCTAGACCTGCAACTTATTGAAAATGTAGGTCGCTCTGGATAAGATCATACACGGCCTGCCACAAATGTACTTCCTTTTGAGCTTATGGTACTTTATGTACTTTGCCATCCTGACTTCAGATATTGGTATATCGGGAGAGACTAAGTTGGATTGGGGGATCTATAAATACAGTATGATAATACATATACACTGCAAACTTCATCAGGTACACCTACCTTGAACCCACACTGTGTCCATTTTATCAGCTCCACTTACCATATAGGTGTATGTTGTAGTCCTACAATTACAGACTGTAGTAATAAAAATCATAATAATTATTTTTATGCTCTTTATAAAAACTTAATTTTTATCAGGAAATCAAGAAGTTTACAGGTATACAGTTCCTGTCTGACAATAGAAACTTGGTCAATAATGCAGCTCTGCACATAATAACAATAGTAATAATATATATATGTTCAGGAAGAAATTGATAAATTAAGACAGGTTTATGTATGTTTTATGAAAATATGTAAATATTGGACTTGCCTTTTTTATGTAGAGCTTAAAATGATAGAGGCAAGTCTAATATTTACATTTTTTCATATTTTATATATATATATATATATATAGTATATATAGTTATTAATATGGTTCTGCCAGTCAGAATTGTCTATTTTAGGACATCTATTTGACTTGAACCAGACTGCGTCACAGATTCCCGTCGGGCCCTTTTAGATGACGTCTGTAAGGTGAAAAATAACTTTATGAGGAAGGCCAGGCTAATTTCCTCTGACTGATTGACCACAGAGCACAATATAAAGATGGCAAAAGAGTCCACTGGGACGCAGAGCGGCTGCCTATAGCCTGTCACCCCCACACAGAAATGAAATTCCTCTCTTTCTATTACACGTAAAGGTCAGCTCTTACGAGGCGCCGTCGTCCGACATGTTTTAGTTGGTTTTCTCACTCTGCGGCTGGTAAAGTGAATCGGCTCGATTGACCTCAGATTACCTCAGGTTTACTTAATTCAGGTGCAGTTCAAACACACGTCCAGCAGAATTAAAGCATCTGACCTGCACATACAGACTGTAGCGCTCTAAGGTGTTTCTCCGTATCATCCGTAGTCATCCAGTGCTTTTACATAATGTGGCTGCTGTTTGCAGTAATATGCAAAGAACCTCAGTTCTCAGATTTATTGGCACCCTTGGTAAAGATCAGGTACACACAGTGTGGACAGAATACTAAATACTGGTATTGTGATTATATTACTGCCTCTAAAATTATTCTAGGCTTTGAAGTATATTAAAAGCTCTATAGTCATTTAAAGTTAATGATTAGCATTTTTTTGCTCAAATTAATTGACTTTTGTTGGAATACATGAGTGCCTTGATTGATTAAAACACCCACAGAGACTCATCTGGAGCTGTGATTGGTCAGGATGATCACAGCACATTGTAAGTGTGATTGGTTGGAGACTAATTTGCATATTGCATCCTCCTGCAAAACCCACACTGTTAAGTCCAACACTGTTTAACATACAATATATTATGTATTGCTAAAATTAGGGAGTTCTCACTGAAAGCTCAGGATTTTCACACTTGCATTGTAAGAGCGAATGTTAATTGGCTGTTTTGCTCGATGTTAATCAAGCGTGCTAATAGTTCTACCCCGTATATGTGTATGAATGAGACCTACACCAGTCTGACCTGTTTAATCGTCTCTGTTTTGTATCGTCTACAGATGCAAACCACGTATTACCTGCAGAGTCTTCACCTGAGCATCCCTGGCACTGAGGCTAATGCTACAGACCTTCACCCGGTAAGAGCGACAAGTATTATCCTGCTGTAGCTGACATGAGAACAGACGGATACCTGTGGAAAACGATAAACGAGAGAAATCTGCATTATTTTTTTTTATCCAGTCCAAAAAGCTCCTCTTCCACCAGCCTCTCTAGCTTTTATTTCTGTTGTGAATGTAAAGAATTAAAGTGATCATTCTGGAACAAAAACCACACAGATTTCCCCACTTATCCCAGTGTAGTCCAGGGATTGGACACACAAACATTAAGAAGAGCCGTATTGTCCTCTCAACAAAAATCAGACCACTTTGGGAGCCACAACATTTTATGTTTATTTTACCATCCTGGCTGTAAATTTGTCAGTATAAGCTAATGTTCTACTATAGGCTAAAAATATAATATAAATGAAAACACAGACTTACTTTGCTCTGCTTGAAGCTTTAGCTCAACCATAGCTGCTTTTCTCACATCTCTGGCAGGAAACTTTTGCTCAGAAGTAGAACAGTTTCTTGTAAAATGTCTCTCAACGTTCAACTTTTTACGAGGGTGAAGTCGCGTCTCATTCGCCAGCTTCTTGTTCGTATTTTCTTGAATGGTGCCGGAGGTGGCAGAATGTAATTGCTGCAGCATTTAAGGTGGAGCGGGAGAATTCGAACAGGAAGCTGGTGAATGAGAAACTGACTTCAGCCTCGCGACTTTTTAAGAGTTTGACAGTTTCTCACTGCAGATTAAACGTATCACGAAACCAGCTGGAGTGATTAGAAATGCAAATAAGTCCATTCGTCTTAAATCTTTCTCTTTGCCGTTTCGTTAGCTACTAGCTAGGCAAGACATGTTGTCTGTGTTGCTATGGTGACCATCAGTCTGCACACCAACCTTCAGGGTTAAAGGGTGAATTAGCAGTGCTACATTAACTCCAGCGTTTAAGACCATTTATTGTTAAACTGTGTTGAACGATCAGCAGAGCTTTATTTAACTGTAAAGGAGGATTATTTTATTTTTACCTACTAATCTGATTCTGTGGAGCCGCAACAGGGCAGTAAAAGAGCCGCATGCAGCTCCAGAGCAGAGTTCGGCAAACAGATTTCCACAGTTTTTCTTCAGTTTCAGCTCCTTTAGTTTTGGCACTGGATCTACCATGTAATGGAAGCGTATGCCCCACCAATTAGCGTCATGCTTTCTGACACTAACATACTATTAACTATAAAAATGGACAAAAGTACATTGGATAGCTGTACATAGTAGGATCAGCCACCCTAAAGCTTTCATGTTGTCCATATGTTTATCCATGTTTATAGATAACAGTGTAATGTAATTAAGACTATTACAGATTAATGAACAGCTCTGCACCGTTTAAGGCAAATATATGATGGTTTAGGCCTGCAGTTAGCCTGCTGCTAATTGGTGGGGTCTAAGCTTCCATTACTTAGCTACATTAGCCTCATAGACTCCAGTGCAAAACTAAAGAAGCAGACTTCAAACACCAAACATGTCTTGGCTGAACAGCTACAGTTGAGGTAAGGAGGAAAATTAGACTTTTGCTGAACGTTCATTTTAGGTCTGGTCCTTTGAGGAAAGCTCTAGTTTTTTGCCTCCACAATTCGTTTAGAAGATCTTAGAAAACTTTGACCCTCTCACTAATCACAGATTAGAAACTCACACTGTGCACGTTGTTGGCTGGCTGTCTGCCTCCTGTAGTTTGAGTGTGTTCCCAAACGTGTGTGTCCATGTGCGTGGCACTCGAATCACAAGGATGATCTAT